GGATCTAGGAAAGTTCACCGACTGCAATTCTCCTCTTGGAAAATTTACCGACCGGAAAATTCACCGACCCGCAGTTCGTCGAAGGGAAAATTCACCGATTCTACAATTGATCGCTGATGATTTATTTATTGAAAGCCATGAAACGTAAAAAAACTTAATTTATTTCATACCATAAAGTACTGTTAATATTTCTATAAAATTAAAATCTGCTGATGTTGAATTAATTTGCCTTAAAATGATAATGATGTAAGTACCTATACCTATAAATTTCGAATAAAACAGGTTTCATTGAAATCATTTAATTGAAAAAACTTCTGAAACATTTACACACATACAAATATGTTGTTACTGCAGTACCCAATTAGTAATTTATATTATGTGCCACATCTCTCAAAAACTCTGAAACATTCTTTCTGTTATGATTCGCAACTACTCTGAAAAGTCTTTCAGCGCAATCCCTATATTTCTTACGCGTAGTCTTACCTTCTTGGCCACTCACGTTTTGTTCTATTTGCAGTGTTCTGATGCTCTGCTCACTCTGAATTGCTTCAATAAACTTCGAGATATTAGGGTTTTGTGCAGATATTTGCATTTCGGATCCACTCTTCAATTGAATTATTTGTCTTCGGAAGACTGTGTCTTACTCCTTCGTGACAGTTCCACATTTCTAGGGAGAAGAGGGGCATTCGATGTCCCATGCGTCGTTGAGGACGTTCAGTCCAGCAGCCCTCGAAGTAATCAATCAAGCGTTGTGCTTCTTCAGGCATGTTATCACCCCTACCGCTAAGAACCTCAAATGCATCTACCACATCTACCGTAGTAGATTCGTAACAGTCGCATTCTCATAGCAAATTCGTACCTTCTTTGAAGATTTTCTGCCTGGATCCTTGGAATGCATACTGCGAGAAACGCAAGAAACATTCTCGATGTCTAGCCCTTTGAAATTCTTGACCAATGGCACTGCCTATGGCAGGTTAGGAATCGGCCATAATTTTTTCTGGGGAGGTATCTGGTTGAAGCTGTTTTACTTTTTGAATGACCCAACATATGTGGCCTCTGTTGTCTGGTAGTAGAGCATTCAAAAACGGTATTGAACTCTTCACCTGAATACCATGGAGTGTGTAGAGTTGGTAAATCAAATGAGGCACTGTTTTAAAAGTTCTGTCCCCAAACCAGTGTTCAGATGAGGCCAGTAACCCGGGATTTCTTGCGGTGGAAAATATTACAGTTCTATCTTCCATTGGTCCTAAATCCAACAACAAGAATGGTTCACTTTCTTTAAATATCTTATACTCCTCGGGAAATACAATTTCCTCTCGGGTCATAGGCATAACTGGTGCTGCTTGTTTTCTTATTCTGATGTTTCATATCGTTCTTTTGATACTGTCGGTCTTCGCGATATACCCTGCAGCAGCTTGGCTAAGCCTCACAGACCCATTAGATAAAATATATTGGAGTGCTTCTTGACCATTTATTGCCTGATCACGTACAACATCTTCCATCTTCAAAGCTTCTATATGCGCTGCATCCCCAATATGGTTGTGAACTCTTTTTACGGCCTAAATGGCATCTCCAACTGTTATTAAACGAACCCGGCACTTGTGCTTCTGATACATCTCACATTTCCAATATCTCTTGTCAGCTTGTTTTTCTTTGAAAAATAACTGACCTTCCACTAAACGTTTCTGTCTTCCTTTTTCACTCGTGACGAAGGGCCATGGCGGTTAATGAAGATTCGTAACTGAAGTATCACACTCGAAGAACCTTTTGAAACTCATCCCTTTGAATTTTCGGAGGTTTTATACAGGGACGAAGCATGGTAATTATTGTGCTCATTAACTAATCTTTCAAATGTGTTATTTCCAAAAGTACTGTTTTATAATCATCATAAATAAATCATCGGCGATCAGTTGTGAAATCGGTGAATGTTTCTTTCGACGAAATACGGGCCGGTGAATTTTCCAGTCGTTAAATTGCTGTCGGTGAACTTTGCGGATACCCATACGAAGATCTGGTGGCAGAAGCAACCGGAGAATCAAATGGGAAACATTATCTGCGGTGGACACGAGAGCGAAATTTGCAAATAACATCGCACGACGGTTTAAACAGATCCCAGTAATGACAACTGACGTCGAAACCGAGTGGCAGCTCTTTAAGAGCGGCATACTCGAGGCTGCCGCCGAATGCTGCGGATATAAACGGGTTGGCCTGCCGGCTGAAGGTCAGAAAAGTAATTTTTGGCGGACACGAGATTTACAAGAGGTAGTTACAGAGAAGGAAATTGTATTCAAGAAATGACCTTGGAGCCAAGGAGCATTCTACTCGCGTGCGATATATCGAGGCAGGCAAGGCAGCAGCGAAAGCAGTTTCGAAGGCAAAAATTGATTCCAGGAAGAAGTTGGATGAGGTGTTGGAGTCGAATTTCCACACGGCAAACAAAGTATTCTGGCAGACCATCCGCAGGCTCTGAGGTGAAAAGACGAGCAGTCTCAGAGTCTTGAAGGACAGATCTGGACACTTACCAAGGATGATGACATTCTTCGGCGATGGAGGGAGTTCTTTGAGGAACTCCTTAACCCGGCGCAACAGCAGGAAGACTCGCCTGTAGAGCAGAAGGGTACGGATATTACTATCTGTGTAGATGAAATTGCACAGGCTGCGAAAAGCTTGAAAAATGGAAAAGCTGCTGGAATTGACGAAATCCGCCTTGAGATGCTCACGGCATTAGATAATCAAGGCATGTACTGACTTATACGTGTCTGGCAAACTGCAATGAGTGCGGGAAAGACACCAACGGACTGGAGAACCGGAGTTATTTCACCCGTATTCAAGAGGGGAGACCACAGAAAATGCTCTAATTATAGGGGCGTTACATTATTGAGCCTCTTGGGTAAAGTCTGCGCAAAGGTGCTAGAAAGGCAATGCCGCCAAATAACTGACCTCAACATTCAAGGAGAGCAGTTTGGCTTCCGGCAAGTCGAAGCTCCTCTGACCATATATTTGCCCTGCGCCCGTCCGGTGTACATGTGTTTTCTTGACCTAAAAAATGCCTACGACAGGATCCCGCGCAACAGTCTGTGGTCATGCCTTCGAGCATACGGGATAGATGGCCAGCTACTAAGGGCCACCCAATCACTGTATTCTGATAGCAGGCGCTGTGTCAGCGTTAATGGCGTTAAGTCGAAACCACTCAACGTTCGCACTGGTCACCGCCAAGGCTGCGTCCTGTCCCGTATCCTGTTTGTGTT